TCGTCTTTAAGAGAAGTGTAAAATTCCACGTAAAACAATGCTTTTTGAAAGTACACTGTTTCGTTTTGACGCCAGAATATTTAACGGTGAAAATAATATTTATAAATGCTTTTACATTTGCGCTGCTAGATATCATGAGATCAAATTCAGTTGATGACTTTAGTAAAATTATATCAAGTAATAGAAAAGTCTGGATGCGAATTATACAGGGTGTCTGTAAAAGGTCTTTACAAAAACATACCACATATTCCTTAGACCAAAATAAGTTGGGTGGCTAGGTACACGACGATTTGGAAACCTTTCAGAGTACACCCTGACACTTTCTCGAGCATTTCCTTCATAAAATCCTAATGTCAGTAACATATCGGTATATTCTGCATTGGTATATTGTACAGCCATATTAATAAACCACGCATTTGTTTTTTTAATTATTGAGTCAGATAGAACACTTTCAATCGTTAACAAGAGATTAGGTGTTAAAACTTGACAATATTTTTATTTAGATGAAACTATGGAAACCAACAATAAATGTTTTTGTATACGGATTGCAGGCAAATAATTAATATTCGTCAAAAAATCGTACATGGCAAGAATAGAGTATTTTTGTTAAAAGTCTCGATTAGAGCTGTTGAAGAAGATATGAAAAAAGTACATTTTTATGTTTTTCATCGTATAAAATTTTGTCCGATAATATTACATAGGCGTAGAACTTGATTTTTTAAATAATTGCATCTTTAAAAATTCTACGCCAATGGCAAAAAAAAGGGTTTGAGTATGAAATTTGGATTGGGTACTCATTTACTACAAAAAAGTGCCCTTGATAACACTCGATTTACTCTCATGGTTTTGACAAAGTTTGTATTTTAATAATTATTGTTTATGTTCTAAAATTACTAAAATGCAAATTTCGTCCATATTACCACTTTTAAAAATAGCTATACATACAAATATTATTGTGGAATAATTCCACATCAAAAACCATTTTCTGTCGGTTTAAATTCTAAAATAACTATAATATAAGTGTCGAATAATGACAGCATAACAAAAAATATATAGGGTGTAACCATAGATATATAACCAAGACAAATAGGATTGTTTGCAATATTTCTGAAACAAACAAATATTTCTGCAGTAATGAATTCTTTATTAAAAGAAATGTGAAATTTAACAACAAGGATTTATCTTCGAGATTTCTTCATTAAAGGCATACAAAAACAAATTTAAAAACGAAACATATATTTATAGTAAATAATTATTTGTAGATACACATTTAATGATTTACTTTAAAGAAAAAAACTCAAATATATGTGCATTTTCCAAAGAAGAGACCTTTATAACAAATTTATAGTACAATCTTTACAATTATAACAATTAATTACAGATACAGTCATACCCAATTATTATCAAAACATATTGTTAGTTTGAAAATATCCCTATATCGACGAAATATTTCCGTTTTCTACCAAACATTTTCATTACTATCTTCATCTTATTTACTGTAGAAGTTTCGATATACCCTTCGGCAACTGAATTTGATTTCCTGATCCCATGTCGTTTTATGCTCAAAAGATCCGTCAGAGTCAGCTAAAAGTTAGTTCTAATTTCGCCGTTCGAGAAATTCGGCAATTAGTTTTGGCACACCACCAATATTGTTTATACCAATACGATGTTTTATACATTTAGAGAGTCCAGAAATAATATTAAGCAATAATAAAATGTGTGAAGAACCTATCACTGAGCCAAAGTTCTGTTAAGATTTCGAGGGAAATTTGTCAGAATTCTGTACAAATTAACCAGGCCTGTAAAGAGGTACAAATTAACAATGACAAATAAATATTAGTAAGTTGCAAATAACTTAAGAGTTTGAGTATCATAAGCAACTCTTGTAGATACAACTTTATATCTTTAAATGAAATCTCATAAAATTAAAAATATTGATGATAATTATAAAAGCAAAGTTATTAAAGTTATATTGAAAATATTACTGTAATAAAAAAGTTAATGCAACAAATGAAAATTAAGTAAATACATGTATATTGAAGGAAGGATATGTTCAAAATACAAAACAAAATAATTGAGACTTTATTGGTACTTAAAACAAATAAGATGACATCTTAAAACTTTGGTGAAAAAAACTCTTTTTAATAGAAGTAACATTAACTTTAAAACGTAGGATTTATAAAGATAACTTTAATCTATTAACTTTAAAACGTAGAATTTATAAGGATAACTTTAATCTATCACCCTTTCTAGCTGAATTCTTCATGAATAATTTAGAAAAACCTATTTGAAGCACTCTACTTATAAAAATCACTTTAGATATGCTGACGATTACTTTTTTTCATTTTAATGGCACTCATATTCAAGCATTTGAAGTTTTAGGATAATTAAGTACTATATTCAGTTTTTTGATGGATTTCTTTTAAAAAATACTAACTATTTAGCCTCACTTGTATTCGAAATATATGGTAAACTCACAATTACAGATTGTTTCACTAATATTTATTCTTATCCAGCCTCTCAAGATAAATATTCTTCTTATATAACTTAAATAACTGTCATCCACGATGCCTGCACAGCCTATTTTTAAATAACATTTTTGAGACGATTCCATAATCAAAAAAAAAAAAATTGTTTCATTGAAAATCTCTTATAGCGTATAAAGTTTGTTACAAATGGTTTCAAATAATAGCAAACGAATTTCCAACTGAAATAAAAAAATTCTAACCCCATTATCCCAATCAGTGCTAAGGAAAGATGTTTCTCTTTCATGAAACTGACATGTTTTCATGGAAAATTACCCAGCAATCATTAGCGTTAAACTAGGGATAACCGAAATAAAACCACTGAAGCAAAATTAGTCTAGTGAATGAAGGATAATAAAAAAAATTATACAGAAATACTAAATTATTATATCAAAATATTTCTAGTTTTTCTTTAGTAGATTATAAAAATAACTTTTTACTATGCTGGTTATGTATAAAACACCATTATTGATTGCCTAAGGAATCATTAAAACTTATTGCTTCAACAATTCTGCAACGACTGCAGGCAACTATTATGAACAGTTGAATGACGATTTAAAGGGAAAAAGTCGTGGAAAACTGAGTAAAAGTATGCTATTTGTGAAAAATGCATTCAGCCATTCTCTTTTGTTACAACGGCAGGCAGCATTGTATCAAGCGAGATTCGAGTTTGTTGAACACACACCATATTCTGCGGTCATTTGCGTGGAAAGAAAGTTTCAAGTGAAAAGAAGTTATGTCGGTTATAAATAAAAGGTTTGCGGAACTTTTCCAGAAGTCTGTTAGAATCAAGAGCAATCACTAAAACAAATTTGTAATAGAAAGAAGTAATGTATGCCAAAAATAGAATGTTTTCGTTAAAATACATTATTGATATTCCTATAAATTTGGTTTTAAAAATATATTTACTTTGTTTTCAATATACAATAACCAAGAATTTATTGGTTTATTAAACTGATCATTACTAATTTTGATTTCTTTAGAAATAAATATAAAAATGTGATTTATTCAGAGCTGTTTTACTACCCTACATCTTTAAATATGCGACATAGATACCGAAATTTTAAAATAAGCAGCTGCAAGGGTAGGCAGATTGAGACTTACAAGCCTGATTGAGTGGCCTGTAAACGGAAAAAGCTGAGTAGCGCTCGAAATCAATATCAGTTCAATAATTTCATCTTATTTTATTTTAGAATTTTATAATCACACTTTTTATGAGTTTCTAAATTTTTTAGCACACTGCAGTTTAAGATGGGTAGTCCACAGATAAAAAACTGATGGTAAAAACAGGACAAATGAGAAAAATAATCATGAAAGAGGAGCTCAAAAAACATGTCTCTGAACAAGCAAGACTTGACGAACACGAAAAATTCTTTCTAAATGGCCAAGTGCCAAAAACAAGAGCCAAAGTAACATTAACTTACAGAAAAATAAAGAAGATGAAGAAATAAAGACAAATAAAGATATTAATTTTAAAAGATAGCAAATACACCCTAACATGAAAAAGGAACACAAAATCCAATCCATTCGTTTGAGGCAACGAGTTAGAATTGCCCCTGAGACAAAGCAGTTCAAGTTTGACAGAGCATCATATAAAAATGTCGAAGTAAAAATATGATTAAAAGATAATTACATGAAAACTACTGCTTACCTTAATGAAGTAGGCAGGAAATTTTATTACTATCAAGATAAATCATAAAAAGTAGTAATCAAAGCGAAATAACCGACTAACTACAAGAAGCAGGACTAAACGCGATCAAGGTACAGGCGATGAAATCTAGAAGAGACAGCAATAATCTTCCGCTGTGTATTGTAGACGTAAACCAAAAGTAAAAAGCCCTCATAATTGTACTTGACAAATATTTATGGCGATTTAGTTGGCGTGTGACTTCTGTTTGTGTCACTGTTCTTTGAATCCTTCGCTTGTCCTTATGATATGTTAGCAAGCCCAGCCAAGGGAGAACAGCTGTTAGTCTGTGTCTTGTCAGTTAGGTAAAGGATAAGTTAATACCCATCTGTATTATTCTACCAGTTTTTTTATAAAGCTCTCGAATACTGGTACTGGTTTTTAAATACTCTCCTATAAATGTTGATCATCTGTCTTAGTTTGAGTTGTCGTTGAGTAGCTATTACCTGAACAATGTAGGCTATCCTGGTAATAAATATTGATATCTATGTAGTTTGCTGGATGTTCTTCCTGGCAGTTGGCACATAATCCTTTTACCTCTTTGTCCTGATGCACTATTGAACTTCGTAGTTTTCACTGCATTTCATACACTTAATGCTTCTACTGCAGTTGGACTGTGAATGGTAAAAACCTTAACATCATTAAATTTTGTCGATAATGATTGTGGTCTTAACACTTTTACCATACTTATTATTAATATGTCAGTTTATTCCTAATTATTATTTTATTTCGTGAAATTTTTCATTCATTAAATAGACTCAAAAAAAAAACAAAAATAGTAACCCTACCTTTAATAAAATCGACGGCCATTTCCAATCCATAAGTATCCTTATCACAATCGTCCAGAACATGAGCACCCAAAGTTATATTCGGTAACACTAGAAATGTATTCGCGTTAACTTGGTCAATGGTATAAAGCATGGTTTCTAACGTCTGAATACCACCCTGTGGCATTATCGGACCGCACGTTACGCTATCTTCCCGTTCGTGAACCATCATCAGTCCGCCAATTACGAGATCACCTTCGACAACAGCTTCCCGTTTAACCGGCCAAGGATATTCTTGCACTTTCGAACCATTTGTACTTTTATTTAAATACATTACACTGTCGGTCATTAAAAACGCTGTCTCGGTGATGATAGTAGCTGAGCTTGTTGGTAATTGTTGATCGATAGCGGTAATGTTCGCAGTTGGTAACAGCTCTGGAAGAGATGAGGTTTCTTCGTGGATGAGGATGTTAAGATCGTCAGGTTGTAACAGGTTAGCAGGAGGAACTAAAGTTGTTATTTTTGTTTTTGGTTGGAGTTCTGAAAAAAAAAAGAAATACGATTAAATTTAATTTTAAAAGAGCCGCGACAAAAAACATCGTAGTCTTTTAGTTTAATCTGAGATATATAAATTCTATCTTAAATATCAAAATATCAATATAATGTTGCTCATGAAGATTTTATTCGTTTGAATAAGTAACCACTGTGAAGTTTAGTATGATGTTTCGAGAATATTGCAGTAGTATTTTGTTAAAATATATTGTGTATATTGCAGGCTCTAGTATTATACCCTGAGGTACCTCGTAAGTAATTTTGTTCACTACTAACTATACCATCTATGTTTAAAGCATGTTTTCCAATTTCTTGAGTAGTTCAATGTGCCGTAACGAATCAAAAGTTTTTGATATACGATTCAACTGATAAAATAAACGAAAACTTTTTTAATCACGAAATAAATCTCAATTGGGCCAATTTAATATAATTTGAGGAGAACGTGACTTGAGTTTTAGGTATTAGATTTATTAGCGTTGATCCTAATAACCCGGCTTATTTTGAAAATTTTGTTGCTGATGTTTTCACATCAGGGATTTTTTCTTTTTTAAACCTTTGATCAATTTTTTGCGGGTGAATAAACTTTAAATTAAAGAGATTTGATGTATAGGATTATGTGCTCACTGGTGTCGGTCTTTGTTAATATTTCACAAACAGAAGCGCCCCACGTTATTTAGTAATCTCGCTTAATTGATATTAATTAAAATTTCGACCAATTTATACAGAGTAATTAATTTTTAGGAATTTAGATTGTTCGTTTTAGAACAGAACTATAATGTTTTGACTTATTATATTACTTGTTAAAATTATACGCGTGTTCTCTAACATCATATATTCCTTTATTAGATTTAATTTCTTTTATAACCTTTCTCCTTTCTTCCCCAACTTATCTTTTTCTCTCCAAGTCAGTATCGGCACAATATTGGCCAACCTGATTTGAAATGTTTAGTTTATGATATTCCCTCCCTACACATTTTTTGTCCATTGGTGATTATATTTTTTCGATAAATACCTGTTTTATTTATGTATCACCATTTCTAAATGAGTTGGTAGGAATTTACATTATTTTTTATTATCGGTATAATCGCATTGTTCAATTTAAATTTATCATATTTAACGTCGAAAACTGGGAAGTATAAATAGCCATTTAAAGTGATATATTTTCACAGATTTATTATTTTAACAGCGTGATCTGGTAATTTAGTATAATAACAGGAAATTATACATATAATTGGTAACAGTTGGTAGCTTGTTCATAGATATAACTTATTTAAAAAAGAATAAAAGGGTATTTTTAGTAATAACTAAGCCATTATATTATAATAATATATTATTGTACCTGTGTCACGTTGTTTTCAATAATAAAAATACAGAATTATTTAAAAATATATTCGTCATAGACTACTATTACTGCTACTAATAAAATTAAAAAATAACGCCTGAAATAGGGCGCAGAATAGTAGTTTGTACAACAAGTGCGTAAAACCATACTTTTCCCACTGAATGTGTAGCACTCCAGAATCTAAGGAACATAGAAACCTAGAAACATATTAAATAGAAAAAGGAGGTTTATCTAACTTGCCACTGCAAATCCTACACTTTCTCGAGAAGATATGATTGGAAGGGTCATTATAGGAATTGAGACATTTTCTTGCTGCCATAATGACAAAATAGGGCACAATAGATCTTTTAGGACCCACCGCATTCCCAACCTCAATCCCTAAATGAACGCTAATAATATATGTGGCAAAACTGAGACCTATAGACTTTATAGTAGTAATGTAAATTTGAGGAAAATTTCTAGTTGATTTATAATGTAATCAAATCACAATTTACAGAACTACCCACTAGGTTGGGTGTTTAAAAAGAAACAAAACTTTGTATGAATAAGCAAATTATATATTCAAGAAACTAGTCAAATTATTTTATTATCAGATGCATTTTTTTAATGACATGTTTTGTTTCATGTTATATTTTGTATATTATAGAGTCTCGCCCACATACATACATTGTTGGGAGCAAAAAAATTATTAAAATAATATTTCCGTTTATCTTGCAGGCCGATATAAAATTATTGTTCATGGCATGCATATTTTATTATAAAATGAATATTCATTGCAACAAGATTAACTCAACTTCAAAGAAGATAAAACTCGTAAATACCATTACTTATTCCGGACAATTAATTCGAATGGCAATGAAAATTTAAATACGGAATGTAGAAAGGATTTAAAGAGTTATGTGAAATCATTTTGTCAAAATTCGGATTCAGGACCGGACTTATAATAGTCAAGGAGAAAGTATTAGTTAAATCAGGGCTGTATAATATAAAGCGTGCGGAGTTGGATAGAAGAAATATGCAATAAAAACGAAAATATTCACAAGAGAATCATTTCTACACCAACGATGACACCACTGCCTATTGACATCAGCCAACTTGTACCTTTTATTGAAACTATTCAAGAGAACTTCAGTATAGTAAAGGAGACGCTTGATCTTATTCCTTCATGGTATAAACAAGGGCACGGGTATTTTATTAAAGCTATAAATAAGACCTTCGAAAAAGGTCACTGACAGATAAATATAATAGATACTGAAGAATTGGATTTGCAGGACTCTTATAAAAAAACAATAATAACTTGTCTGTGATATATTGCATTGTTTCCGAAGAGGTTCTATATGAAAAGTCCTTAAAGTTAACTGAATATTATTAAAGTTGTTAGCCTTGGATACTTCGTCCGTAGTGGAAAATCTTATTCCCAAACCTGGAAAAACTCCAAATGAAGTCTCCTTCTAACGACCCATTAGTCTCCTTTAAATCCTGATCAAATTATTTAAAAAACTTCTAATAACAATACCGCATATCGAAATCAATATTAAACCATCAGTTGTGGATTAGGAAACAGCATAGCTCTATAAAGTAAATCAACCAAACGTTACTGCGTAGTAACCTTCTTGAATGTATTTCAAGCCTTCGATAAGGTCTGGCATCAAGATCTGCTCTAATAGCTGCAACAATCCCTTCCACATACCAGATCTTCTATTTTTACCTACAGAATAAATACTACAGTCTATTCGCTATACTTACGCGGATTTCGGATTAACAAAATTATGCAAATTAGTCATTGACAACCAGTTCCAATAAGCCTCTTCCCAAGAAATTAGGTAAAATTGCCCTAATGGTCAGATTTAAATTAAAATAACATTAGAGTAGGTACTAAATTTGTTACAAATATTGCAGTTGAATTAATTCTTTGCAAGTGTTGACATTGTATGTATATTGTAAATTTAGTGGACATTTTAAAAATGCCTAGACGTGTGTTAGATGTAGATAGTCTTATTTGTAGTTTACACAAGTATTTTACGGATAAAAAGAAAATGGCGGTCCTTTAAAATCGGCAATGTCTGTACAACAACGCGTATGCGATGCTCTAGGAATTAGCGAAACCAAATTAAGAGGAGTATTACAAAATCACAATAGTGAACTGCCGAAAGAAGACCACCGCAAAACTCGCCCATCATTGGTTTCAAATTTCAAAAGGAGGATAACAGAAAAGCCCTTTCTGAAAGAAGTTCTGTCGTGCACAAGAGAATTAACTTTCTAAGAAAATATTCTAAATTTAAAGAAGAAGGGGCGAATTTTATATATTTAGACGAAACATGGATATTTTCTAGGGGTGCAACCAAGACAATATGGCAAGCTGGACCTTCTAAGGTAGTTTTATTTATATTGTGTTATTAGTTATCTGCTATAGTCTAAGGTTTTGTATTAACACCAATATTTTTAATAAATTAAAATATTATAGTACTAGTAGATTTGTATATTAAGTATTTTTAGTACAAAGAGGCATTTTGTGATTTAAAATCAGATGTTGACAAGCATACTAGTGGTAGTAAATAACTATTTCCGACCTTTATACCTGCTAAATACATTTCAAACCTATTGAAGTATATTTTTGTGTTTTATAGAAATTGTTATTCAACACAGTTTTTGTTACCCGCCTATGAGTCGTACCGTTTTATTGAAAAAGACTGAAATACGTTTTGTCGAAGATGCTTTTTGTAGAAACATTGTTTCTGCTCTTTCTAATTAATGGGAAAAACTCGTAAATGACAGTTATTATCTATTCAATATCTTGCAGCTAAAATTTGATAATTAATTTGGGAATCGTTGAAACTGGAAAATATGCATATTTTTACGAATAATGAATATAATGGGACTGTGTCAGCGTATTTGGAGCACGAGAAATTTAGTTAGTGTCCTTTGCATTTTCGTGCAACGTTTTTAACGTCGAACCATTTTTACAGGATGTAACAAAAAATTATGTCAAAAACAGGATGATAAAACGTAACTTAATTACCTATTTAAAAAATTTATAACCTTTTAAAATTATAATTTACATTTTTAAAAAACTAATTTTTATAAGAAACCCCTGGTGCCTCAAAGAATAGAATGTTGTTTGTCTAATGTGGTGTAAGGCGCGGGTTCAAATCCATTTTTATTTTTAACCAACTTCAAAAAAAGAAGGAGGTTCTCAATTCGTCGCAATATTTTTTTTATGTATGTTCAGCGATAATTCTTTAACACGGTGTCCGATTTAAATGATTTTTTTTTGTTAGTAAGGGGGTACCTCAGGGGTGATCCCATATAAATTTGGTTAAGTTGTGGTGATGGCATCTGCACGTTTTTCAAGTCGGTTTTTTTAATTTTTAATTTCTAATACTTTCTAATACACTAAACATACATCACTGGATACAACATATATTCACTTGTCGCAGATTAATTTAACATCTTGT